ACAAAAACAGCAACAAAAAACGTGGCCGAGCATCGAGGGGGGAGCGCGGGATCCGCGTGTGCGGTAACGCGAGTGCAGCTCCGCGTTGGGGCTGCGCGCATCTCCGGGGGGGGGGAGGTAATTGCTCCCAATTACGCGAGAACAATGCGCAGCCGAACGCCACGCCGCACCGCACTTGCGCTTGCGAAACGTGGCGGCGGTGGCGGTGGCGGCGGGGCTCCGGGGGCGGCGAGTAGGGTGGGCAGCGCTCCCTCTTCAGAAAATAGTGTACTATCGTGAAGGAGAGGGTAAAATTTTACTGACCAAAAAATCGAATAATTACTAATATTTATACCCATTACTCTTAATCGCAATAATGATAATTACATACATTAATTTTTATATTCGTTTTAAACTATTTGTCAATACTAGGTCTGTATGAACTTCGTTAATTGATTAATTCGTTGGTTTTCGACGCGTCATTACTGTGGTATGTAGTCTCGTAGTGCCTGCTATATTCCGGGAGGAAGCTGTGTTCCTCCCACGCTGGAACGTATGATCCGGAGCTGACGTACATGTCGACTTGCGATATTTTCCTCTCTCCAGGTATCTCCCCAGAGGGGAACCGTTCTGGCCGGGATACGGCTCTAAGTTGCCAACTGATGTCCCCACATTGGTGGCAGTCATGTGCGTGCAAATGTGTGTGTGTAGGGGAAGAGGAGGGAACTAGGGGTAGATGAAGGGGAAACGCACACAGTGCGTGGCCCGTTTTGAAGGAAGTGTTCTAGCATTCACCTGGCAGGAGAAACTCCCGAAAGCTACCGGTGAGAGCAGCCGGCTGCTAGATTTCTCCAAGACACTATCTCATTTTGATGATAATGATGATGACAGGATTATGAAAGGTATTGTTGTGATGAGTTACGTTATGAAATGGGAATTCAAACCACCTGGTGAAAAAAACACCGATGCCTTACGCGGAAGTCGAACTCGCAGACATCGCCTCAGAGTACTCGGAGCTCCAAACCTCTTCACCTCCGAGGCCGCTCATCTCATTGAAAAAATCTTGGACTCTCTAGAATGCGAATAAAGATACTCGATGTGTTCGTAAGAGTGTTAGGAAAATATGTAGGCAGAACAGGACTGCACAACGGAAGTTCCATGCGCGAAAGCAACTTGAAAATATTTGATTATTTTTTGAATAGCTTTATTTCGGCACTAAAACTTCGTATGTAAATCTCATGTGACTGAGTCCAAGGATTACTGAAACGAGAACGGAGGCAGGTATCGGCATGGCGCGAGGGAGCGTTCCTTTGTGAGGGGGGGGGCGGGGGGCGCGATGCAGCCGGGCAGTGCCCATCGCGTGACCGCCCACTCCAGCCCAAGCGGACGTGAAAGTTCCCTAGTTTGCTTTCTTTCCTAAGAAACTGGAAGAATGGACACATCTCGGCTCTTTCATAAAGCACTTGCGCAACTTCTCTGACCCCTCTTTAATCGCGTGTGCCGTGGATTCAAATACCTGGATACCAACTATTAGAAATCGGGAGATTCCAATTTACCACTACCGTATTCCGTAAGTGATGCAAGTGTTCTTGAAATTCTATTAATATATCGCGGAGAATATGCCTTCGCCATTGAAATTGATATGGTTTAGAGTTATGCAAGTCTTAATTACCTGGAAGAATAATAGTGCAATATAAACCATATTCCTCCATGGCTCTTCAAGAGAAGGATAATAACTCTGTAATTATTTAAGATAATTGCCAGTTTTCTGATGAAGAGAAACCTTTTCCGTTAATATAGCCAAATGATAGTTTCCTGTTATTGAGAAAATGTTTAAAAAGCAGATGCATTATAAAGTATTCATTATTTCAGAGATTCTGGATAATCTTTTTCTCATTCCAAAAAATCGTTTTACCATTTGTTTGAAATTACTGACCGTAATTGCCCAAGGTAACAAAAATATTGAATATACCTCTCAAAACGAGTAAAGTGTACATATTTTCCAGAGAGCATCAATAGAAACGGACCCGCTATCGAGAGCGAAGGAAAGGACTATTGAGAAACCGCGTCTACAGGTTACTCTTCTCGCGTTTCTCGGAATCTCGCTTATAGCGGAGATGATTACTTTTTCATGGAACTAGCCATATTCGCCTCCTGCCGCGGGTCGTTCTCGGAGTTAAGAGGCGCGAGAGGCACAGAAATGAAGCTGCAAGACATTACGACTTCTAAACGACTCGTAAAGCGGTCGGCGTACGTCGTAACTCGGCATATGCGCAAGCCATTGCACTTCGCCTCGTTATGTTTCTAGGCCAATCGCACCGTTCCGAGGGAACGAATCCAAATGATTTCTGACAATTTTTTTCGTTCTTTGCACTATCATAGGCCCGGTACAGCTAAAGGTACCAAAAGGAGCAATCAACAATATTAACATATAATGTAGCCAAAAATACTTCATAAACTATTCTTTGGACACTCACTGTTTTAAAAAACAATACTTTCTCCTAAGTGATTTTCGCATTTTAAATGTTAGTATGATGTCAAAAAAAGAATTATGTATAATACAAAATCCTACTATATGTCTTTCCCGGAGTGTACGTTGTTTTGTACAAAAGCGTGTGTAGCACTTGCGAGGAAAAAGATGTCTTGACATAGTTAATTAAAAACTTAAATGTAGTGTGTTTTAATAGTTATTTATGATGCGAGTGGTGAAAAAGACATTTTATTTTGCGAATAGAGAAGGTTGCGTCATGAGGTCGATAGGCTGAGGGCGCGATCCTACGAGCAAATTAAAATTACTTTCACCACGTCATACGCTTTTTTAGACAATCTTACTGGCATTCTTTTTATTTTAATTCAAGAATACAAATCACTTAATAGTACAGTAAGGTCAGTAGTAGTGGAAGCTGTCAGAATTTGTTGTTTCTTTGTTATTTACGATTGCATCAACTATTAGGTCATTAGCGACCACTATTGCGTGTAACGGTAAGGTAACTATGAGGATGACACGATATGATGATGATAGATGTATGAAAGGACGAGCACAATACAACCATGCCCGAGGCGAGACTCGAACCCGAGATCGCTACGGCACTACTGCTTTAGCGATCTCGGCCATCCGGACCGGCTGAATTTGTTTTGTTTCATTTGCGTTCCCAGATTTATCAGAACACTTGAGAATCGTCTCACTTGTAGCACTAGTGCTAAAAATTGCACTTTTAGCGCGCTACACACACCATGAAAGAACTGCTTTTACTAGTGGCTGTCTAAAAAGAATTTCCTACTATAAATACTGTATAGTGGTGCACTGGCTGGAAATATTATAAAGTAATGTGTATAAGCGTTGTGTTAAATTGTTCAAAGAATTGGTGTCCCAGAACCGGTCGGAGCGACCAATTCTTTGGACAAAAATTTAATTGTTGAAATGTATCGTTACTCTATTACTTTTGGGATTTTATTACGACTGC